AGAAGAAGTGAATGGATTTCAGTCCTTTGCACGGTCACTAGTACCTTCTTCAGAGAGACTAAATCTGCCTAAATCCAATAAAGTCTTCATGATGAATGGTACTGAGAAGAACTCCAGTTCCTCCCTGTCCAGCATGGATTATACAGCCTCCGGAGCCAGGAAACCATGTTCTGGAACCCCATATGGCAGAAGGCCCAGGAGCTCGTTCCCAAGTTCCCACCGGTTTCAGTTAGTCATTTCAAAAGCACCCAGTGGAGATCTTTTGGATAAACATTCTGAACTCTTTTCTAACAAACAATTGCCATTCACTCCCCGCACTTTAAAAACAGAAGCAAAATCTTTCCTGTCACAGTATCGATATTATACACCTGCCAAAAGAAAAAAGGATTTTACAGATCAACGCACAGAAGCTGAAACCCAGACTGAATTAAGCAGGTATGGCACATCAACCAGCAGTAAATCCTTGAGGAAATTAAATGAACATAAATTAATTAATATTCCTTGTTTTCTATTGTGTGTTTCTATTTCTAATATTCCTTAAATACCAGACTTAAGGTCTGATAGTGCCCTTTTAATTGGAATTAGATTAATGTGACTTTTCCTTTTCTGTGTATCACTAGACTATCAGAGTAGTTATTGAAAAATAAACAGCTATTAAACTTGTCAAGCTCCTTGTAAATATGAATGTTACAAATTTTATTGTTTCAAATATGGTTCTATAACTTCATATGCTTTTAAATATTATAGTTTCAGAGAATTCTTAAGATATGTCATCAGATAGCATTTGTGTAAATGTGCATATTGATTTATGTTAAAAGTGGCAAAACAGTGGGCTATACAGGGGAAGAAAACCAGCTCTTTATCTACCTACCTCTGTGCTTTCTTTCCTGCGGATAGTCATGCAGTCTTGTACGGCAACAACTGCCCAGGAATAATTTAAACAATCGGGATACTTTCTGGAAATTGTCATTTGACTCAATACTTTCAAATACAATAGTGTCTAACATACTCTGAATATTCAGCAAAGCTTGTAAAGTGTTGAGAGTTAGCAGGTTTATGATCGTGTTTGTCTTTTCTAGTGTTGCATAAACGATTTATCTGATATTAAGGTTTTAGTTATTCTAGAAAGTAAAAACCAGTTTAAGACTAGTATTTTTTTCTTTTGAGTATAGACAAGAGGTACAGTAATATCAGATGAGTCTGCATACATTTAATAAAGACCTAAGGAA